AACACTACAATAAAAAAAAAAAAAAAAAAGTTAAGCTATCCCCTTTCGTCAACTTTGCAGCTAACTTTCGCTTCTCTCCCCCCCCTTTATTGGCCATCTCTGCTCTCCTCCAGCTCCTCCGGGGTGAACCCCACCAAAGCGCTTCTGGGGTGCAAGAGAGACCCCCAGCCCGCAGGAAACTGCGAGCCGCCGCTCTGCTGAGCCCAGCGCGTCTCCGTGCTGAGCCGCTCACACACAAAAAAGGGGTGGACAGCAGGGCTCTCGCATCTATTTCGCTCCAGGAATGAGAAAGGGCACGAAAAGGGGGCTCCTGCCCCGCAGCAGCACCCACCGCCCAGCCCTCCGGCGGCACAGATCCTGCGGGACCCTGGAGGGGACCCTGGAAGCGGAAGAAGGGAAAGAAAGGACCTACTTTTGGGCAGTTTTCTCGCCCTCGCCTTGGATCTCATCTTGTCGGCTTGTGGATTCTTCTCCTCCTCCTTGAGCCCAGAAGCAGCTACACACTATCTTCATCTCCCAAGCATTGTCAGTTTGGACACCTTCGCACATGCGCACAGAGCATTCAATCTGACACCCTCGCCAGGGCCAAAAAAACTTTCCAATGTATTCATCACCATCAGGGGGTTTTTTTTGGTCCTATCCTCTTCTTCAGATCACTTATCTCCCCCCCCCCCCCCAGCACCATCATAGCCTTTCCCTGATCTGCCCCTTTAAGAAAAATCAACCCACTCTAAGCCTAACCCTTTGTACACTGACCTTACACACTGGACAATATTTAAGGATCAAGGTACCATCCTATAAAGAGGTGATTATTTATTATTAATTATTACTATTATTTAATAGCAATGTTGTAGCACGGAGATTGTTAGAGGGTGTCATTCTGTAATTGCGAATATTTTAAACAGGCTTGTTTGGGTTTTTTTTTAATTAACTTTTTAATTTACTGTAACTTTTCCTTTGACAGCCAGGTTTTTGGGGGGGTTTTTTACTTTGATTCGGAGGTTTGCGTGGCTATTTAAAATCATTATCTGGGATTTGCCACATGCTATCATGTAATGGTTTTCACAAGGATATTCCTTTTTTTGAATGCCGTAACGAGAATGTCTGCTGACATTTTTGTGTGTGAACATTTTAATTAAAAATTAAAACACCGGTTTTACACTTTTTCAGGCTTGGGGTGTGTGTGTGTGGCACTTTTGCTATCAGAGTCCTTTCTTTATTACGCCGTGCACATTTGCATATGGACAATATTGCTAAATATATTTGTAACCTTGATCGTGCTAGTAGGGGAGTCGGAATTCTGTTTGGGTTATTAGCCAAGAGCGGCTGCATGTAGCACAAGATGCAGTCACACTTAATCTGTACGATTTGGCGTGGCGTGTGTGTTTCTGCACTTCTTTTTTCGACAATTAATTAAGACAAAATAATATGTTAAAAGGTTAAAAAAATAGCTCGCCGGGGTTTTTAAAAGAAACTGAGAATTAGGATGCTGGGTTAAAGAGAAACATATGGTCCAGTCTATATTTGTGCCTTTGATTCAAAGCTCTGGCAGGTACCTGAGTTTGGATTTCAGAAGGATTCTATACGTTTCTCCCCCGCCTCCCCTCTCAAACAAATCTAGCTCGACCTCCTGTCTGGACTGGGCCATCCAGTTCTGAGGCTGTCCCTTCCTGGATGGGAGAGATGCTCTGCCTTACCCATCCCCTACCCACTGAAGGGGCTCTGAGGAGTAGAAAAGACCCTGGTTTGGAGAGAGCAAAGATGAGTCTCATGCGTTTGCATTTTAGGTACCAAGGCAGAGTCATTTTCTGGACGCCAGATAGAATAGTGATCGCCTCCTTGGGAATATTAAAAATACTGCTACTCCTAAGTGATCCCTGCCTAGACATTGGAGTTGTCCGTGATCCCCGGAAGTGGAGGCACAGACAGATCAGACAGACCCTCTTTGAAGAAAGGAGTGAAATGTAAATAGCTGGGTGATTGATGTGCTGTCTTTGACTGCGGAGAAAGCACTATTTTAATTCAAGTGGCCAGGTCAGATGGTCACGGAGGAAGGTTGAAAGGTAGGATTTAATGAGATTAATATGGAGGGAGAGCGACTTCATAAACATTCAGGAACAGAAGCGGGCTGGGGAAAGTACTCCGGTTTGCAGTGAAGGTGCAGAAACATATTGGGGACTCGGCGAGCAGAGGCGTCTCACTCTAGGGCATTCCAAAAACAAAGGGAAAGTTAGATGGGTGGCTGGGCTCTCTCCTGCCAGCTGAACTTTTGCACTGCAGGTGGGAGGGGGGGGTGGAATTATCCGTGCTAATTACTGGGTTTCCCTTCCTCATTGCCCTCTTTAATTGCAGATGGAAGCAGGGCCCTTTTAGATGCTACTTATTTAGTAATAGGTGGGGAGGGGAAGAAGCCCAATTTTTTTAATATACAGATAGTGAAACTTCCAACCACGTGTCGCGAAAAGCGCTGAAATGCGGATTGCAGATTTCTTTCTTGAAAATGTAGTAATATTCAGAGAGTCGTTTCACTTCATTGTGCGGACCCGCAGGTTGGAAACTCAAATTGTTTGTAGCTTAAATGTGGAAACAGCAGAGCTGACGTTTAAAATCAGTTGAAATATTTCCTACAAAGACCGTAGGTATCTTCCACACCCCTAAAATGAGCTGGTAATGAAAGACCCAGGTTTGGGTTAAACTAAATGTTCTTTTCTTTTCGACATTATTGTCCATTCACTGTTTTTGCAGAACAGACATGAAAACAAAATCTTGATTTTTTTTTCCAAATGGCATTTAAAAAACTCGATTTAACAAATGACAACGGGGCTGGAAGACTATAGTAACAGGAGTCAGGGTTCAAGTCCAAACAGCAGATTGGTTTGAAGTTAAGGGTCTAAAAGCATGCTATTGCTAATTGCACACGGCTTTGCCTTTTTAAAAAAAGAATTCTGCATGCAAATAATTCTTTGCTGGAGTCCGAATCTACAAGGGTGGATCTTGCATTAACTATTAGCAAGAAGAGCATTTCTCGCACAAGACATATACATATTAGAACTCCATCGCCTTATATCTAGGAAGCAATGAACTGCAGACAGTGCTTCTGCTAGATGATCTGTTTAACTCTAGTGCTAGAATCCAGCTGTTTGGCTGAGTGAAGGTGCACTCAGGTGCGTATGAAGAGCTTGCACTATACCAGAAGGTCAAATCACCTTCACCTGTGAAGAGAGCACAGCGGAATCTCGGGGATTTTTATATACCCCCAACCACCCCGGCACAGCTGTCCCTTTCCCCCTGTACAGCAGGCGAACGTGTAAAAACGGCTATTAATACGGATTACACAAAGGTATAATTGAAAGTAATGTTCCCTGGCTGTGCAGAGACATCTCTCTGATGCAACTCTTCTTAATCATAAGCCTGCCTTTCGATTGCCAAATATCCAGCATCCCGATGACATATATGTCTATATTTCCTTCCAGAAATAATGCAGCAACGGCGTTCCACTAACTGCGGCGTCCGACTTGTGTTAGCAGGACTTTCTCCTTACAGATTCCTAGACAGTGTCGGGGACAAGATGGACTCTCTATTCCTCTAAAAAAAATAGACCAATTTTATTTTTTCATTACAAATTAAACAGAGGAAATGAAATGCAAAACAAAGCAAACGAGCTCCCAACTAAGGCAAGGCAAAGAGATTGGGAGCAGCCCTTAGTTTTACTTTGAAATGATTTTCACGTCTTGTATTAACAACGCTGATGTAGTAAATATGTGCACAGTTTAAATGTTGCAACAAAGATCGAACGGATTTCTCTTCGGTCCCCCATCCCTTCCTCCTCCCCCTACCATCTTTCCTACAATAATTTACAAAGAAGGAAATATACCATGGGGGGGAGGGCAGATTTCCCTCCCTCTCCTCACCATCCCCCTTGCAAAAAACAGGTACAAAACTGACATCGGATTTACCCTAGATTATTCGGGGGTGGGGAGGTGGAACTAAAAAGCCAAGAACCAATCTCAAACTGTATTTATTTCTCTCTCTCTCTCTCTCTCTCTCTCTCTCTCTCTCACACACACACACACACACACACACACACACACACACACACACACAC